GAAGCTATCCAGCGTATTCGAGTTAATGAGGATGCTTGGTAACTTGTTCCATTCATCCACTACTCTGTTTCCAAACCAGTGTTTACCTATTTCGCGCCTAAATCTAAATTTGTCTAATTTAAAACCATTATTACGAGTTCGCTCCTGGTTGGATAGTTTGAGTACCTTTGTAATGTCCCCTTTGTTTAGCCCTGACTTCCATTTATACACCTCTATCATGTCGCCCCTCGCTCTACTGTACGTCTCTCGAGGGAGTGCAAATTAAGATGCTTTAACCTGTCTCTGTACTCAAGGTTCTTAATGCCCGGGATTAGTCTTGTCATTCTCCTCTGGATTCTTTCCAAGGATTCTACAGTATATCCATTCTGTAATACGGTGACCAGAACTGAACTGCATAATCCAGGTGAGGTCTCACAAGCGCAAGATATAATCTTAAGATGACCTCGCTAGTCTTGTAACTAACACTCCTTTGTATGAACCCAAGTACTTTATTAGCCTTGTTACGAGCAAAAACACATTGTTTACTTGGTTTAAGATTCCTACTTATCATTACTCCTAAATCTCTCTCGCAGTCGGATTTCTCAATGGCATCGTTGTTCATCTGGTAACTGGTTTCCCTGTTTACATCTCCTATACTGAGTACTTTACATTTGTCCACATTGAATTTCATCTGCCATTTTTCAGACCATTCGAAAATTTTGTTTAGATCTTCCTGTAGTTTTGCAGAGTCCTCGTCAGATTTAATTACACGTCCTATTTTAGTGTCATCAGCAAATTTACTTATGTTGCTGTCTATGCCGATATCTATGTCGTTTATATATATGATAAATAATAATGGTCCAAGTACTGAGCCTTGGGGAACTCCACTTGTGACGTTGCTCCAATGGGATTTAGTGCCGTTAATGCTCACTCGCTGTTTCCTGTCCTGTAACCACGCCCTAATCCATTTAAGGATGTCACCTTTGATGCCATGAGCTTCTACCTTTCTAATTAGTCTTTCGTGGGGGACTCTGTCGAAGGCTTTACTAAAGTCGAGATATACCAAATCATAATTGTGCCCCTCGTCCACCGATTCGAAAACTGATGAAAAGAATGTTAATAGATTAGTTGACAAGAACGTCCGCTTGTGAAGCCATGCTGGGAATCATTGATCAGTTTGTGCTTCTATAGGTGGTTTCGAATAGAGTTTGAAATGATTGCTTCCAGTAATTTGCCTACAATTGTTGTTAGACTGATTGGACAGTAGTTAGAGGATACTGATCTATCCCCCTTCTTGAAAATCGGTATTACATTCGTTATCCTCCAGGATTCTGGTACTCCACCTGTTTTTAAGGACATGTTAAACAACTTTGCTAAGGGCATACTAAGCTCTTCCTTACATTCCTTTAATGCTATGGCAAATATCTCATCGGGACCTGGTGACTTATTAGGCTTTAGTTTGTCCATTTGCTTACTAACATCGTTACTAGTCACTACTATCTCGCTTAATTTGTTTTCTTCACTATCTCTGAATAGAGTCGGTGCCTCGGGTATCATGTTTAAATTTTTGGTGGTGGCTTATTGGCTTATTTGTCTTTCTTTCCGGCGCTAATTATTCAACATAGAGGTTTATTATTTATATCTGGTGCCGTTTCTCTTACTTCTGGGTTATTTCCACGACCACTGAGAGCAATTTATGTTGTCCCCTCCTGTAACACACCTCCCAACACCACCCCAGCAAGTACCCCACGTCACCCCCCAGCAGGTACCCCACGTCATTCCCAGCAGGTACCACCCCACGTCATTCAGCAGGTACCCGTCACACCCCCCAACCAGTGCCCACGTCACACCCCAGCAGGTACCCACGTCACACCCCCAGCAGGTGCCCACGTCACCCCAGCAGGTACCACGTCACCAGGTACCCCGTCCCCAGCAGGTACCTCATCACACCCCCAGCAGGTACCCCACGTCCCCCAGCAGGTACCCACGTCACACCCCCGGCAGGTACCCACGTCATTCAGCAGATACTCACGTCACCCTAGCAGGTACACGTCACCCCCAGCAGGTACTTCACACCCCAGCAGGTACTTCGTCACACCCCCAGCAGGTGCCCACGTCACACCCCCAGCAGGTACCCGTCACACCCCCAGCAGGTGCCCGTCACCCAGCAGGTACCCGTCACCCCCTAACAGGTACCCCATCCCCCAGAAACTCATATCCTCCTCTCCTGACCTCGCTGATGGAACGGTCTCTCGAGGACAGTTTATACGCAGCTCGAGGCCAAATTTCGGTCACCCATGTTCCCTGTAATGTGACGTCACAGTGCATAATGAAGGGAGAGCTGATTGAATATTCACGATATTGTATTTCTTCTACCCCAGACTGTGTGTGTGTGTGTGTGTGTGTGTGTGTGTGTGCGCGTGCGCGTGCGCGCTATTGGTGTTTGCAAACGTTTCTTTTGTGCGCTTGTATGTATTTATACTGATATACATATAAACATATATATGTATGTACAGTATATATTATGTATGTATGTATGTATGTATTTTATGTATGTATGTGAACCGCCCTGACAACTATTATCATGTACGGGAGGGGTGTGGGGGTGTGTCAGAAGGGTGTAGGGGTGTGTCCAGAGGTGTGGGTGGGGTGTGTCAGAGGGTGTGGGAGTGTGTCAGAGGGTGTGGGTGGGGGTGCAGGAGGGTGTAGGAGTGTGTCAGGGGTGTGGGTGGGGTGTGTCAGAGGGGTGTGGGAGTGTGTCAGAGGGTGTGGGTGCAGGGGAGGGTGTGGGTGGGGGGGTGTGTCAGAGGGGTGTGGAGGTGTGTCAGAGGGTGTGGGTGGGGGTGGGAGGGTGTGGGAGTGTGTCAGAGGGTGTGGGTGGGGGTGTGTCAGAGGGTGTGGGAGTGTGTCAGGGGGTGTGGGTGGGGTGCAGGAGGGTGTAGGAGTGTGTCAGAGGGGTGTGGGTGGGGGTGCCGGAGGGTGTGGGAGTGTGTCAGAGGGGTGTGAGTGTGTGTCAGAAGGTGTGGGTGGGGGTGCAGAGGTTAGGGTGTGTCAGAGGGTGTGGGTGGGGTTGCAGGAGGGTGTAGGAGTGTGTCAGAGGGTGTGGATGGGTGTAGCAAGAGGGTGTAGGCGGTAGATGGGTGTAGGTTAGTGTGGAAGGCTTCAGATGTGCTGGTCAATAATTTCTAGTCCCCAGTCAAACAAAAATTTACCCCTGAAAAAAATGTCTCCCTAATGTTTAAAATTTGTTGTTTTGTCTACGTGTTGAAGAACTTAGGTGTTGCAGCACAGACATACATATTATAACACCTGTTGCACCTTATTATCCTAACACCTGTTGCACCTTATTATCCTAACACCTGTTGCCTTATTATCCTAACACCTGTTGCACCTTATTATTCCTAACACCTATTGTACCTTATTATCCTAACACCTGTTGCACCTTATTATCCTAACACCTGTTTACTATTATCCTAACACCTGTTGCACCTTATTATCCTAACACCTGTTATCATATTATACCTATTGTACATTATTATCCTAATACCTGTTTTACCTTATTATCATATGTTACCTTATTATCCTCACCTGTTGCCTTATTATCCTAACACCTGTTGCCTTATTATCCTAACACCTATTTACCTTATTATCCTAACACTTTTTATATTATCCTAACACCTGTTGCCTTATTATCCTAACACCTGTTTACCTTATTATCCTAACACATGCTGCACCTTATTGTCCTAACACCTGCTGCACCTTTTACCTAACACCTGCTGCCTTATTATCCTAACACCTGTTTTGTATTATCCTATTACCCATTACCTTTTATCTAACACCTGTTTCACCTTATTATCCTAACACGTGTTGCACCTTATTATCCTAACACCTGTTGCACCTTATTATCCTAACACCTGTTGCCTTATTATTCTAACACCCTTTGCTATTATCCTACTGCCTGTTGCCTTATCTAACACATGCTGCACCTTATTATCCTAACACCTGCTGCCTTTTATCCTAACACCTGCTGCCTTATTATCCTAACACCTGTTTTTTATTATCCTAACACCCGTTACCTTATTATCCTAACACCGTTTACCTTATTATCCTAACACGTGTTGCACCTTATTATCCTAACACCTGTTGCACTTATTATCCTAACACCTGTTGCACCTTATTATCCTAACACCTGCTGCACCTTATTATCCTAACACCTGCTGCACCTTATTATCCTAACACCCTAACATCCTAACACTGTTGTACCTTATTATCCTAAAACTCGTTGCACCTTATTATCCTAACACCTGTTGCACCTTATTATCCTAACACCTGTTGTACCTTATTATCCTAACACCTGTTGCACCTTATTATCCTAACACCTGTTTCACCTTATTATCCTAACACCTGTTACACCTTATTATCCTAACACCTGTTGCACCTTTATTATCCTAACACCTGTTGCACCTTATTATCCTAACACTGTTGCAACCTTATTATCCTAACACCTGTTGCAACCTTATTATCCTAACACCTGTTGCACCTTATATCCTAACACCTGTTTCACCTTATTATCCTAACACCTTGTTAACCTTATTATCCTAACACCTGTTGCACCTTATATCCTAACACTGTTGCACCTTTTTATCCTAACACCTGTTGCACCTTATTATCCTAACACCTGTTGTACCTTATTATCCTAACACCTGTTGCACCTTATTATCCTAACACCTGTTGCACCTTATTATCCTAACACCTGTTGTACCTTATTATCCTAACACCTGTTGCACCTTATTATCCTAACACCTGTTGTACCTTATTATCCTAACACCTGTTGCACCTTATTATCCTAACACCTGTTGCACCTTATTATCCTAACACCTGTTGCACCTTATTATCCTAACACCTGTTGTACCTTATTATCCTAACACCTGTTGCACCTTATTATCCTAACACCTGTTGCACCTTATTATCCTAGCACCTGGAGTTCTTCACCTCACGTAGCACTTTTTCCCCCCACATAGGCTAAGACTCCGCAGCGGTCGTGGGTACTGCTGCCGCCTTCCAGCGGCATAACACAAACCAACACTGAACAATGTCTGATTTTAGAAGGAACGGACCACTGAGCGTCCGCTGCCTCCTTGTGAGTAGAACTAGCGCGTGTTTTACCGGTTCACAGCTCATGATACAACATAACTTGTCTTGGAGTCTTGGCTCATATTAATCCCTCTTAACTCTTTCTTTGAATCTCTTATCCTGTAATTTAACAGAGGTGCCGGGGCCGAGTTTATACAGCGCTCACCTCTTGTTCTGAGGGTAGCTGGTTCACACCCTGGTCATCCTCAGTCCACCCAGCTGCGAATGGTTACCTAACTGTTCATAGCTGGGGCAGTGAATACAGTGATGGCCACACTGGTTACTGGGCTACCAAAGGCTTAGTACACATTGTGTTGTGTCCACACTGTCGCTACCGGACCCCTGGGGTCCCATAGGCATGACACCTCTGGGACCCACTTTCATTTCATTCAGTAAAGGTTTCTGGTGTACTTTATGAACTTCATCAGTGGACTCTCTCTCTCCCCCTTTCTCAATGGCAACTATAAAATACATTATTTTAGAATGAAATTTTAAATAAAAACAAGAAATATATTCCCCTTTTTCCTTTGTTTCCGTAATAAGTAAACAAATAAATGAGTGCAGAGGAATGTGATAAACAGAAGCTGTAACAATAGTAAAATTGCTAAAAATCCGTGATAAAAAATTTAAAAATAAATTTATTTAAGCTGACGGGAACCACGACCCAACGATAATAATAATAAATAATATAATAATAATAATAATACAGTATATCTATCTATCTATCTATCTATCTATAATAATAATATATTTTATAATTACTACTGCTATTACTATAGATGATGATGATGATGATGATGATTATGATGATGATGACTGCTGGCCAGGATCAGAATGGGGTACAATTATTCCTCCTTCTCTCTTCCTCTTCATCCTCCTCCTCCTCCCCTCTATTCCCTTCTTCCTCTTTGATTTTGTTCTTTCTCTCACTTTTCCTCCATATTCTCGTTGTTGTGTTTGCTGTCTTTGTTGTTGTCGTTGTTATTTCTGTCGGTGTTGTTGTTGTTGTTGTGGTTCTTATTGTTGTTGTTTTTGTTGTTGTTTGTGTGGTTGTCATTGTTTTTTGTTTTTTTTAATTCTTCTTACTTCATCTGTTTCCCTGCCTCCCCTCTTCTTTTTCCCCCTCATCCCATCTTCCCTCTTCTATTATCCCTTTCGCTTCGTTTCTCTCCTTATACCCCTCCTCCTCCTCCTCCCTGCCTCGGTGAGGTGAGCCAGTAATGCCAAATAGGAGGTCGTGTATGTCTGAGATGAGCTGACTGTCATCCTTTGTTGTGTGAAGCGTGTCAGCTCTCTCTCTCTCTCTCTCTCTCCTCTCTCTCTCTCTCTCTCTCTCTCTCTCTCATATATACTACTGACTTGTGTGTGTGTGTGTGTGTGTGTGTGTGTGTGAGTACGTCACTTATGGATAAATTGTCGTGAAAGCAAAACAAAAATATAGCTGAACGTTGTGTTAACATGTAGTGTTTGTGTTCCTACAGGTGATGGTGGGGTGGCGGCGCAGCGCTCTGGTGCGGGGCAGCTTCCTCCTCAACGTAGTGTTCGCGTTGTACGTGGCTGTGCACGTGGCGGCGCCCCCCCGCCTACTGGCCCCCCGCGCTTCCCTCACCCTCATCCATGACAACCTCACAGCCTCCCCGGAGCCCGTCGATTACCCTACCGAGGGAGAACCTACCATCGATGACCCTTCCGAGCCCCCCGCGCCGCCCACACCCGCGCCTACCTTGCAGGAAAAGGTGTACCCTGACCTGCACACGTGCCACACACCCACACTCACGTTTCGCCCTGCCCTGCACGGCACACATTGGGTGCTGTACAACTATGTGCCGGCAGACACCCAGCCCGCGTGTAATGAGTCGGTGACATACACCACGCACGCAGACTTCACCTTCCTGGACAATGTGGTACCGCTGGTGGAACGCTGGCGAGGCCCCGTCAGCGCTGCAGTGTTCGCCCCTGGAGGGGACTTCAACACTACGCTGCGTACTGTGGCCTTCCTGCGCACCTGCCGCCCCCTCGTGGCTAAGCATGTCACCTTCCATCTGTTTTTCCCGGCCGACCACATGCCTAACCACGTACCGCCCACCGCCCAGTTGCTGGCCCAGCGTCCCTCCTGTTCCACGCCGCCCCCCTACCTCGCCACCCACACCTACAAGCGTGCCCACAACCTCACGTATCCCGTCAACATAGCACGCAACATCGCGCGTCGGGCGGCCGCCACCTACTTCGTGCTGGCCAGCGACGTGGAGTTATACCCGTCCCTGGACTTCATCAACTTCTTCATGGATATGATGAGGAGGCAGGACGCGTCGCGGGCCGCCGCTCCCACCCGTCGCGTCTACGTCCTGCCCATCTTCGAAGTGAAGAGTGGGTTTCGGCCGCCCACCACCAAAGCTGCGCTGGTCCGCATGCTCAAGCGAGGATCCGCAATCCCTTTCCACAAGTTTGTGTGTCCGCAATGTCATAAAGTGCCTGGCATGCGAGAGTGGGCCGACTCCAACGCCAGCGACACCGTCAACGTGGTGATGGTGGCCAAGAGACACCCGCCCTACCACCACTGGGAGCCCATCTACGTGGGCACCCACCTGGAGCCTCTCTACGACGAGCGGCTCTCCTGGGAGGGTCGCTCCGACAAGATGACGCAGGTCAGTCACTGTCAGTATTGTACAGAAGCTTTCCCTTCACTCACTGTTCAAAATTCTCCTCGCCACTGCCTCCACACTCATTAGATCAATATAGGTAACACAGGTAAGTACTTTCTACAAGTACGGACTTTTCAAACCTATAAATAGTACTTAAATGTGCTTCAGCTGCAGTGTACATTATTTACATTACCTCATCTTGCACACGAACACTACAAGGCAGCCACACTTCCGTCACCCCCCTCATCATGGCTCACCTGCTGGACGCCTCACACTCACCAAATTACTTCACCGACAACCTTCCTGATAATGTGTTTATGATGAGGATGGTGTTTGTGTCGCTCTTTACACCTCTCATTATCTTGTGACCTTGTTCAAGACTGTCCAGGAACATTACCCCTGAGTGTTACCCTGAGCCATCTGGAGAGAGAGAGAGAGAGAGAGAGTATAACAGGTGTGTAGTTTATATGGTTAAGAACAAGGTTACCCTGTACCTTTGAATGTAGTGGTAATGGTGAGAGGTTATGGTGGTGAGAAATTGTGGTGGTGAGGGTTTATGGTGGTGAGAGGTTGTGGTAAGAGGGGTGCAGGATAGTGGTGATGGTGATGGAGTTGACAGCTCTTAAGAAAGTGATAAAGAGAGCGAAGGATAAGTAGGTGGAAAAAGTGATGAATAGGCAGAGTGGAGAGGGTGAGGTGGTGGAGGGTGGAAGTTGATAGCGAGGATGAGGTGGAAGAGGGGATGAGATGATGATGGAGGGGGGAGGTGATAGAGAGGGTAGAATGATGGAGAGAGAGAGTGGGGGGTGGGGAGGATGTGGTGGTGATAAAAGGCAGAATAATATAGACGATGTTGATGATGGTCAATTGATGGTGTGTCGACCCGAACAGCTGTGCATCCCCTCCTCCACCCCCCTCCTCCCTTACCCACCCCTCCACCCCACCCCTCACCCCACCCCCTCTCCACCCCACCTCCCTCTCCCACCCCACCCCTCTCACCTCTCTCTCTCTCTCTCTCACGTAAATATCTCCTGTGACGCGATATAATTCATTTTTTTGGGGGGGCGGAGATCAAGCTTCTAAAATGGACTCCCACGAGGTGCAAAATTAGGATACGACTCCACCCTATGATGCGAAATTGATGACAGGAATACGCGAAAGGGGAATGAATGATAAGAAAAAGTTGGAATATTCTATGTATACAAAAGTGGGAAGACAAGAAGGTGAATGGGAGGATTTACATGATGGGACACGAGAAGCTGTACATGAGAGAAAACGGTATGACATGAGATAAAACGGTAAGACATGAGAGAAAACGGTCAGACATGAGAGAAAACGGTCAGACATGAGAGAAAAAAAGAAATATCACAAACAATCTTGTAATCAACCCTTACTTTATGAGTCCTATAATTTATGGCATTAGTGAATGTTACTAATTTGTATCCCACTAACTTGGATTCCAATTTTGTGGGTATTAATGTGTGTGTGTGTGTGTGTGTGTGTGTGTGTGTGTGTGTGTTTGTGTGTGGGTGTGTGTATGTGTGTGTGTGTGGGGTATTAATGTGTGAATGTGTGTGTGTGGAGTCTATTCTTCCGTCTATTCACCCTTCAGTCCGTTTATCCGTCCCTTTGTCCAACTGCCTGTCCGCCGTGTGTATTGATTATCAGGTCAGATAGGTCAGAGGTCAAGGTCAACAATAGTCGTCACTTATCTCAATTTGATCAGCTCGTTGTCTCCCGTTGATGCCTTGACGTTACTGGCGGAGCACCATTAACCGAGACTTAGGGAGGTTAGCGTTAGGTTAGGTTAGATTAGTGAGGTCAGCGTTGGGTTAGGTTGTATTTAGGTTAGCGTTGGGTTAGGTTAGATTAGGTTAAGTTAGCGTTGGGTTAGGTTAGATTAGGTTAAGTTAGCGTTGGGTTAGGTTAGATTAGGTTAAGTTAGCGTTGGGTTAGGTTACGTTAGGTGAGGTGAGGTCAGCGTTGGGTTAGGTTAGGTTAGGTTACCGTTATTGTGTTTAATCTCCAGGTGATCTATTTTTTGTCTCATCATTTACGAGGAAGACATTTAACTAGAGACTTTCCGAGCGTGTGATGGAGAGACGCCTCTTATCACGCTGTTGTGGCCTACATCTCTTACCTGTAGGGGAGGGGGCTACACATAACACCTGGGCTCTTACCTGTGAGGAGGTCTTGTCTTTGTTGAGCTCACGGCAACACGACTTCAAGGGTGGGACGACCTAGAGGAATATTAACATGTATAAATAGCTTTAATATGAGTTGATATGATGTTACCTAACCTGACCTAACATGACCTGACCTGACTTAATCCAGCCTCCACCATAGAATCACTGGCGTTGTTTTTGTTCTGTCCAGCGAGAGGGACGGGCGGGAGGAAGGTTGGGGGGAGGGGATTGGGCGGAGGTGTTGGGGAGGACGGCGGAAGGAAGGTTGGGGGTGGGACGGCGGGAGGAAGGTTGGGGAGGGACTGGTGGGAAGGAAGGTTGGGGGTGGGACGGGCGGAGGAAGGTTAGAGGACGGGCGGAGGAAGGTTGGGGGAGGTGCACGGGCGGGAGGAAGGTTGGGGGAGGCACAAGTGAAGGAAGGCTGGGGGGTGGGATTTGGCGGGAGGAAGGTTGGGGGAGTGGATTTAAGTGAGGAAGGTTGGGGGTGGGACGGAAGGGTGCTTGGGGTGGGACGGGCGGGAGGAAGGTTGGGGTGGACGCAAGGGGAGGAAGGTTGGGGTGGACGGGTAGCGAAGGTTGGGGTGGGACGGGCGGAAGGAAGGTTGGGGGTGGGACGAGCGTGGGAGGAAGGTTGGGGGAGGGACGGGCGGAAGGAAGGCTGGGGGTGGGGACGGGCGGGAGGAAGGTTGTGGAGGGACGGCGGGAGGAAGGTTGGGGTGGACGGGCGGGAGGAAGGTTGGGGTGGGACGGGCGGAGGAAGGTTGGGAGGGACGGAGGGAGGAAGGTTGGGGGGAGGGATGGCGGGAGGAAGGTTGGGGGTGGGACGAGCGGGAGGAAGGTTGGGGGGAGTGGACGGTGGAGGAAGGTTGGGGGAGGCACGGGCGGAGGAAGTTGGGGAGACGGGCGGGAGGAAGGTTGGGGGGTGCACGGCGTGAGGAAGGTTGGGGAAGGCACGGGCGGAGGAAGGTTGGGGAGGCACGTAAGGAGGAAGGTTGGGGTAGGGACGTACGGGAGGAAGGCACACCCTCGCCTCTGATGACGGAGGTAATGACTCAACGACCTACTTCCACCACTGACGCCTTGACGTACACGGCTCCTCTTCCTCCTCCTCCTCCTCCATTTTTTATTCCTCTTCTTCTCTCCCTTCTCCTCCTCTTCCTCCTCCTCCTCTTACTGATGCCTCTTCTTCTCTCCCTTCTCCTCCTCTTACTGATGCTTCTCCTCCTCCTTCTCCTCTTACTGATGCCTCTTCTTCTCTCCCTTCTCCTCCTCCTCCTCCTCTTACTGATGCCTCTCCTCCTCCTCCTTCTCTTGTTACTGATGCCTCTCCTCCTCTTCTTCCTTATCCTCCTCCTTCTCTTCCTTCTCCTCCTGCTTCTCCTCTTCTTCTTTTACTAACAGTTAATATATTCCAAGAATGCTTTGTTAAGTCTTTAGAGAATCGTAAACCAAAAAGAACAACACACAATTTATCTTGAGTCTTATGAGATGAGTCTAACTAGGCCATTGAGGCAAAGATGGCGGTCAGGAGGCTTAATTGAACTGAGACTACAAGCTATTTTCTTCTACAAATGAGGGTAGAGTCTTGAAGCCATTAGATTAGGTTAGGTTGGGTTAGGTTAGGTTAGGTTAGGTTAGGTTAGGTTAGGTTAGGTTAGGTTAGGTTAGGTTAGGTTAGGTTAGGTTGGGTTAGGTCAGGAGGTCAAGCGAGGGACAAAACTATTCGGGGAAAAAAATCGTTCTAGTTCATTGTGAAGTGTTTAGGACTCAAGGTAACAGGGTGGACTCTTCATTGGAAATTTGAAGTCAGTAGCTTAAGATCGTACAAGGATAAGAAATAGCCATCTCTCTCTCTCTCTCTCTCTCTCTCTCTCTCTCTCTCTCTCTCTCTCTCTCTCTCTCTCTCTCTCTCTGTTATCAGCAAGCCTTGTCGCCCGCCCTCCACACCACAGCTATTGACGGTGTTATCTCCTATAACGTGTGGCCACCTCCCTCAAGTGGTGGTGATAATGGTGGTGACAGTGGTGATAGTGGTGGTGATAATGGTGGTGACATAGTGGTGATAGTGGTGGTGACAGTGGTGATAGTGGTGGTGACAGTGGTGGTAGTGGTGGTGACAGACAAGCTCGAAGGATGAAGAAGAATGAAGAGAAGAGAGAGAGAGAGAGAGAGAGGTTCATTGTTTACATACCACGTTCAATACAGCGCGTCAGACGAAGGGCGAGTGAGGTGGTGGGGGCAAGATAATGGTAAACCGCTTTAAGAAACAATTTCCAATCTTCAATTATAACGTGTGGCTCGAGGGTGCTGACGTCTTCTGGATGTCAGTAGTATCAGGAGGAAGGAGGATGAGCTGACACCCTCTAGAAGGATGTAGTGTCAGCGTCGTCAGCAGGAAGAAGGAGAAGAAGTGGGAGGAAGAGGAACCGATGACTCTTAATTTAATACTGTATATGTCAGCTTAGTCAGTCGATTCTAGAGACAGGTGGTGAGAGAGACAGGTGGTGAGAGAGACAGGTGGTGGGAGAGACAGGTGGTGAGAGAGACAGGTGGTGAGAGAGACAGGTGGTGAGAGAGACAGGTGGTGAGAGAGACAGGTGGTGAGAGAGACAGGTGGTGAGAGAGACAGGTGGTGAGAGAGACAGGTGGTGAGAGAGATGGTAGAGAGAGACAGGTGGTGAGAGAGACAGGTGGTGAGAGGGAGACGGGTGGGGGAGGAGACAGGTGGTGAGGAGGAGACAGGATGGGTGAGAGACAGGTGAGAGAGAGACAGGTGTGTGAGAGAGACAGGTGGTGAGGGGAGAGACAGGTGGTGAG